ATCTTCATATTTTGGCGGGAGAACATTTAGAATGGATGCTCCTTCGCCAAAAAATCAATAAATGATAGTTTCGAAGGACAATAATAATTATTATTTTACATACAGAGTGGTAAAATTTGCTCCACCCCACCCTTGTTCTCTCGTGTTCCTGAGCAAAATTAGCAAACATCGTTTCTCATAAGACACTTCTCCAAATTATCTACTTTGTCAAGCAATAAAATATTAAACACGATTTTTTAGCCTTTTGCGGTCACAATAACTCAAATTATGGAAATACTTGAGCAGACTCACGTTTCTTTACCCTCAATGTGAAACTTTATATACCATCAAATCAATCCTTACAATGATGAAGAAGAAGATTGCGTAGGAAGAGGCCAAATGCACGAAAAAAAGATGTCTATTTATCGGTCTTAACAACTATGAATGACATAGCGTTTCAGTAGCGTGATCTGGAGGACAGAAATCACTGTTCCTCATTATATACGATACGTCTTAGATATTGTGTAATGTGTATATATCAGTACATTCATACTGTGGAAGTAAATTCTCATTTCTATGTAGAATATGGGAATTTTCCAATTGGTTGTTATGTCGATATGTCACGTCAATGAAAGCTAGCGATTTTGAGAGGTGATTATATTGATTATCGAAAAAACAAATAGAGATGATGTTGAAATATGATGAATGACTGTGTCAAATACTATTATTACATGAGATGATCGAAATGAAATGTGGCCTAAATTCGACTTTTGTGTACAACCCATTCCTTATTTGCAATTTCCGATCTCCCCCACGTAATAGTCAATCATCAAAGGTTTGATTTTTCTCGTTATACCATGGCATCCCAAGCAATTTCCCTCAGGGTACCTTGTCCTTGGGCACAGCCTTGGAAGTAATTTATGAGTGGACAATATTCGGGGGTATTGTTATTTCAAAATGCCCCAGAATCTTCGGCAAATTTGCTCAAGGGCATGGGTAAGCTTGCTCCAGTTAATCTTCATATTTTGGCGGGAGAACATTGAGAATGGATGCTCCTTCGCCAAAAACTCAATAAATGTTAATCTTTGGTATGAGTCAATATTGCACAAAGTGGAGTGGAATATTTCAAGAAGATTCTACTACAAAGAAAGATTACTAGTCTGGACATATGGTTCAACAAAGAATTCTTTCCTTCCTTTTTAATTATTGTTAGATTCGAAAGAGTGTTATAATTTGCTCCACCCGACCCCTGTACTTTCGTGTTCCTGAGGCGCCTACGACTCGCCTACGGCTCGAAAGTTTCAAATTATGTCATTCGGCCAAATTATCAGGCAACAAGCTGTCATTTCGAACGCCAGATATTCCCAGCAAAATTGTATCACTTGTGGTATTACATATGATAAAACTCTATTTTTCGAACATTATAATTTCTGGAAATAGCTTTAAGCTGTTGAAGTCCTGCTACAAATAGCTGACTGGGAATATGGTGCATACGTTATATATCTCGTATTTCATTGATTTATTCTTTGATATGATTATTGAAAAATATCCAAGGGTTATTCGAGATGTCATTAGTAGTTGAATAAATTGAAGTAGTTGAATAAGAGTATAGTATCCTATCCGATGATGTATCACAAGACACCTTATCATCTGGCATAATTATACAACCTCTACTTGTTGAAACAAAACGTATTCCGAATTTTATCAAAATATCTACCAACTCTCATGAAGGCTGTTATATGTAGCGATATTTCAATTCGTGGAAAACTGAAAACCCTCTCGAATCGACGAGATACTCACATTTATTCTTTATTACTACTACTAAGCCTCCAGTCACTACATTCATGTAAAATACCACAACAAAATTGTTGAAGATGATACTATACTATATCAAATATTACCACTACAACATAGTATATGATACTATAGTATGATACAATTTTGGTGTGGTATTAATTATTGATGAATGTATAGTGACTTGCGCCTATATTACTAAACGTTTATTGGTATTCACTACCGACTACTTCTCTGAGTGTAGTAGGAGGTCGAATTCTGGGTCATGTGACCGACGGGGAGCTTTCGATAGTGGTGGGGTTGAGGTGATTATTTTTTAAGCTTGGTCTACTCACCTCGTGCCGTTTTAGCAGGAGGTTGAATACCCTGAGCTTCATAGAAGGCAGGAAGTCCATAATCGGTGAGTTTCAACACCCAACGAGCATCAATGACGCAATTTCTTGACGACAGGTAGCCGTGAACTCTGATAGGAGTCGAATGAAGGTATTTCATACCCTGAAATAAATAAAAAGTACATCATATAAGATGTTTCCGTCGACCTCGTATAAACGAGTATATTCCATGTTGAATGTTTATGACATTGATTGTTGATGACCCCCTATTGATGCATGTGTTTTGTAGTATATGCAACATACACCGCTTTCATTCACTATTCGTACTAAAACTCAAGCAATCTGCATTTAAACCAAAAATATGGAATCCATCGAAGATATTTCGTTAACAAAACACATTCTGAATCCCTTTTTTCTAAAAAAAGGAATTTATGTTCCATAATTATTATTTCGAGAAATATCAAATGTCCCTGATGTTAGTGACAAGTTTGTTTGGAATGGGCGTTTCGGCACAGGAATGAGTTGGCTTCATTATGGCAGGTTAAAAATATAGTAGTTCTATTATTATACATTGAAATTTCTCGAATAAATCTCGATTCTGAACGAATAATTGAATCAACGTCGGTCACATTTGAAATTATACTATCCTTCCTCAATTACTGCATCAGGTCAGAACAGAATTAAGCCGATACCCATGTTACGGTGCTGGGGGGTCTATTCCCTGGCGTTATTCATATACGAAATCGATTCTTTTTCACCTCAACATACGTCATATACGTAAGCCCATATATTTTTATTCCTATACGAATTGAATTCGAATGGTTCGAGAATAGACCCTTGGCCCGAGACGTTGTGAGTGTTGTGAGGAGAGCTATGCTACAGTAGTCGGAAAAATTTTGTAAGCAACTAGCCTTGATCGCACGGTCATGCAAAATCAAGTTCCGTTTGGTAGCAGGGCGGGTGCGGTTTCATGAAGGCAATATCATGTGTATAATAATTATGTGTGTCTGATTCAAGAGATGGCACTATCTTGAATCGGGGATGATAATATTGATATTAGTATACTACAAATGTTCAAAAATGAATGAATTCCCACCGCTCACTGGTTAAGAAATAATTGAAACATTTGCTATTTTCCAACCAACTCTGTATATCGTGAGTACGTGCAGGATATTATTGAAGTCTATAGTGGATTTTCACTGCATAATATGAACTATTGATTGCAGAACGTTATTGATATGTGACTAGAATCACAACTCCTACAAAATATCGTAAATTCGAGCAAATAAATGCACCAGAAGCCAATTTACCCGTTGATGAGTGGTCCTCTGATTTTTCGAGGTATTTTCAATTGTTTTTTGCAAATTGCATCCCTCACAAGGTCAATGTCTGAACAGCTCCTCTTTTTTTGTCATCTTGACCTATTTTTCTCGAGAAAAATCATGGCGAAAAATAGAACGTTCTGAAATTTTGTTTTTTTTTTGAGGTATTTTTCACCGCTTTTTTCAAATTGCTCCTCTCCTGAGGTATTTAAGTCAATGTTCATACAGCAATTCTTTGTCTCTTATCTTAACCCATTTTGCTATAGGAGAATCATGGTTAGTTAGTTAGTTAGAATAATAATACCGTCACATCATCAAGTAAGAATTTAAATTAGACTTTAACCTGGCCTTTATTCATAGTTTGTTTTACGTATTCATTCCATTATTTCTTCTTTTACTCGGAAAATATGAATAAGCATTACATGATTTGGAAAAGAATTATATATGTGATAACGAAGAAACCGAACAGAATGCAGTGGAACAAGTTGAGCGAAAGTGTCAGTATAGCGAGTACTTCTGTCTCTGGCACAAATAACTTCTTAGCATCGTCGTCTAGACGAATGAGCTTTTAATAAAAAGGTCTTCCCAAATCTTTTTTCATTTTGGTAGAGATCTTCCCAAATCTGAACCAGTCTCCGCCGTACGTCTTCCAGAGTAGTGAAGTTACTTTCCTTACCCGATACCGACTTACTCTGAACTATTTCTCACAACTCCCGCGACGTGAGGCCTGGCATTATCTTGCATCAACAAAAATCCTTACACTATAAATGTGGTTCTGAAATCACCCGGTATTCATGAAATGGTACTTCACCTATCAAGTGCGGAAAGTGATGCTTTTTTGCACGTGTTAGGTACACTATTTTTTATCTAGCGTGCGGGAAAATACCAAAAGTTAACATAAAGAAACATTCATTACTCCCTAATAATTTAACAAGTTGTAGATTTCTCCGCAAGCTAGTAAAATGAGAGGTTTTTATGCGAATGTCCGATTATGCTCTTCATCAAATTTTCACTGATAATTACACTATAGTTTTCTTTTTGTCGAAGTAAACTTGACATGTATCAATAAAGAATTTTGTTGCCTGGCACTTTTTGGGGTTGAATTACCTAATGGCAACAGAATCCGAGTTATAAATGCCAAGTTAACTTAGACTGAAAAATAAGCTAGAGTGTCATTCGTTAAGGTGATTTAATTCATCAAACATTCGTTAATGGCTGGTTGTCTTGCTTCCAAAAGTTAGTTTTCGTTATTGTCGCTGGAAAAGCTAGGGCAAACTTCTTTCGCTGTCACGAGGACAAAATCACGCGGCGTCTGGGATTTTTCATACATGAATTGAATTGTCAAAGGAATCTTATATCTGATCCACCAGAAACGTTTAATATTTCATCCTCAGTGAATCAGCCTATACATACACATGTATTGAAATAATAATCATATTCTTATCTGATAGGAACGAGGAGAGAAAATTCAAGCTATTATGGAAAAATGAATGTTCCACCTCCTCGATCAACCCATAGCCGCGCTTTCTCCAGTTTGACAAAACACAGTGGAAATATTTTCCAAGAACAAACATCATTTAAGGAATTTCCCGTCCACACAGAACATCAAGATAGGGCCTCGACTATATAATGGAAAAACTTCCACACAAGTCTCGAACGATTCCTCTTCTAGCAGTATCCTGGAATCCCAGGCCAGTGAGTCCCGGAGTCCCGGAATAGGGACATAAAACTCGCTGGGGCGGACACAAAAATCACTTACCCTGACGAGATCCGTGAGCAGGCTCAACCGAAACGACCAGTCGAGCTTGATGTCGTCCTGCTGAAGCACGTCCTGCAACGGAAAAAAATGCCAGACAATGTTTTGACGTGTAACACGCTGTTAAGAGCTTCTTTGGACGCCGTATTTCAAGATCAGTAGACTGAGGAATCGGATAATTTTTATGGGGTCGATAATTCAACTTCTGCGAAGGAAATAGAACATGAGACGTTGACTAAAAGGATCACGACTGGATGAACATTTGCGAGCTGGACGATGACTCGTTCTTTGCCTTTTAACTGCGAAACTGATAGTGATTTAAGCTTTAGATATTATATTTTGTTTGCAGTTATCTACATGCACCTTTAGAAAAATAATGAAATTTCATCGATTTCGATTCCTATGATCTTCCAATAAGATACATTGAGGAATTCAGAATCTCAAAACTATCGTGAGTCGTCCGTCAGCTGATGTAAGAAAGACTGTTTGGGCTGCCAAGACTCATTAGTCGCACTATACCAGCTGTCAATAAATTCATGAACAGTACCTCTACAGTGTCATCCATAACATATTATGGGGAAAAAGTTTATGATTGGGATATCAGAAAATGTTTTCTCGGGAATCTATTATGTGTTGCGTGCAAGAACTGTCAGATAACCGACCCTGGAGGTGAAACATTGAAACACAACCTCACTTTTTCTATCTGTTTACAGATGATTGAAATAGTTTTTCACAATTTTTTTGGCATACGAATCGTGTTTTTCGGCTATTCATTAATTCGCGCATGCCATCACATTGTGCTGTTGTACCAGGTGATTCAATAAGTGTGACGAGATATTGATTTCAGGAACTAATGATTTCGCTCACAAGGTCGATCTGGTTCAAGAAAGGAAGGTTTGCTGAATGAAACAAAACAACATCTATCCCATTCGGGTTCCTACTGCCCTCGCTAGGGGGCGTCTTTAATAAACTATTAGTTCTTGAGATACCCAGCACCTCATCATCCCTATTGAATCACCTGGTACAATGCACAAAAAATGCAACGAGAGACGAAAGAATCCGGTTGGTGCATAATGATTTGAAAGTAAGTACCTACTAAAGTTACTCACATATAGTTTTCACTTTGAAATCTGATAATTTCTTTGATTTCACATGGGAATTCCTTTTGCAATAGGAACGAATAGAAATACTCGTAAAATTTCTGAAAGAATGCAAGAAGATTGGTGATAGCAGAGCTTGATTATTCAGCTTGATTATTCACAGTATGAGGAACACAATCGCCAGTATAAAATATTTGATTTATTATATATAACCAGTGAACAACATCTATAAATAAAATATATACTGGGAGTTATATAAAGGTATGGGAAAGTATCACAGGACTACTATTTTAACAAATGGATTCATTCAATCAAACGGGAGGACTGGTCTGACATGCTGACGAAATATGATCGTGTTTGTTGTAAACATTTTCAAACTATTAGCAGTATTAGCTTCTATTGCAGAAGTGGCAAAAGGAATTTCAATGAGAAGTGACGAAATTTTATAATGAAAACTATGTGAGATTTTTATTTACCTGATTAATCATATTCCTTCGTCTCTTGCCTGCCTTGTTTGTGTATCGTACAACCGCACAATGAGAAGGCATGCCTGAATTAATGAATAGTGCAAAAAACACGATAAGTATGCCAAACTATTGTGAAAAACTATTTCAATCCTTCGATTCCTCTGTGAACAAATGAAAAAATTGTAGTTGTGTTTCCATGTTTAACAGAAAGGTGAGGTTATGTTTCAATATTTTACCTCCAAGGCTTGATGTCGTCCTGCTGAAGCACGTCCTGCAACGGAAAAAAATGCCAGACAATGGTTTGACGTGTAACACGCTGTTAAGAGCTTCTTTGGACGCCGTATTTCAAGATCAGTAGACTGAGGAATCGGATAATTTTCATGGGGTCGATAATTCAACTTCTGCGAAGGAAATAGCACATGAGACGTTGACTAAAAGGATCACGACTGGATGAACATTTGCGAGCTGGACGATGACTCGTTCTTTGCCTTTTAACTGCGAGACTGTTACGACGTCAGTCTGAAGTGATTTATGCTTTCGAGATTATATTTGTTTTGCAGCTATCTACATGCACCTTTAGAAAAATAATAACATTTCATCGATTTCGATTCCTATGATCTTCCAATAAGATACATTGAGTCATTCAAAATCTCAAAACTCCCGTGAGTCGTTCGTCAGTTGACGTAAGATAGACTGTTCGAGCTGCCAAGACTCATTAGTTGCGTTTCATTCGTTCCATCCTGGTAGCGGTGGTGGAAACAGAATAACTTTTACAAATAAAACGAGAAACTTCATGACCTTGAAGAGAGAGAATTTACATAAGAGATATTTGTATATTGGGAATTCAAAATAATTTCAAAATCATAATACTAGAGTTAAGAATCTGGAAAATTTATCAACTAATATTTGGAGCAGTGATTGTGGTGATTGGAGAAACTTCTCTGAGATCGAGAGAATTTATTCTATCTGGAAATGAACATATCATGAAACCCGTCTTACCTGGAAGGATCATGAACTAGTGACGATGAAAATGTCGTCGAATAAATGTCTTTCACCTTCATCGGAAAAGTTGCAAATAAAACGACACATTGAAGTGATTCCGGTGGCAGAATCGGATAAATAAAACGTAACTATTAGTCGCTATACCAGCTGTCAATAAATTTCCCCAACGCTACCTCTACAGTGTCATCCATAACATATTATGGGGAAAAAGCTCATTATTGGAATATCAGAAAATGTTTCCTCGGGGATCTATTATGGGTTGCATGCAAGAATTGTCAGATAACCGACCCTGGAGGTGACACATTGAAACACAACCTCACTTTTCTTATTTGATTACAGATGATTGGAATAGTTTTTCACAATTATTTCGGCATACGAATCGTGTTTTTCGGCTATTCATTAATTCGCGCATGATATCACATTGTGGTGTTGTACAATGCACATAAAATGCAGCGAGAGACGAAAGAATCCGGTTGGTACATAATGATTTAAGAGTAAGTACCTACTGAAGTTACTTACATATAGTTTTCATTTTGAAATCTAGTAATTTCTCTGATTTCATATCGGCATTCTTTTTGCAATAGGAACTAATAGAAATACTCGTGAAATTTCTGGAAGAATGCAAGAAGATTGTATTCATGCAATCAATCGGGGGGACTGGTCTCATGCTGACGAGATATGATCGTGTTTGTTGTAGACATTTTCAATCTATTAGCAGTATTAGCTTCTATTGCAGAAGTGGCAGAAGGAATTCCAATGAGAAATGACGAAATTTCATGATGAAAACTATGTGAGATCACTATTTACCTGAAAAATCATATTCCTTCGTCTCTTGCTGCCTTGTTTGTGTATTGTACAACCGCACATTGAGAAGGCATGCCGGAATTAATGAATAGTGCAAAAAACACGATTAGTATGCCAAACTATTGTGAAAAACTATTCCAATCCTTCGATTCCTCTGTGAAGAAATGAAAAAAGTGTTGTTGTGTTTCTATGTTTCACAGGAAAGTGAGGTTATGTTTCAATATTTTACTTCCAGGGCTTGAATTCGTCCTGCTGAAGCACGTCTTGCAATGGAAAAAATGCCAGACAATGTTTTGACGTGTAACACGCTGTCAAGAGCTTGTTTGGACGCCGTATTTCAAGATCAGTAGACTGGGGAATGATTTTTGAATATTGATGATTATAAAATTCAAGAAAATATATAAAGCTTTCAGTACAATTTATATGTTCCCTACCTCGCAAAGATTATGCTGGAGTAGTAAACTCTAAAACTAGAGGATTGTTCATCTATATCTTGGTATAGTTGAATCAGGAATTCCATATGGAAATTACGAATGATACGCCAATGACCTCAATATAACCTAATAAACAACAAATGTGAAAGAGGCTACGTTCAGCGGCAGGTCGGACCATGGTCAATTCGTCTCAATTCGTTCAGACCGTAGTCAGACTATGGACCAGCCCGTGGTCCACGTAGTCTCATTTAAAAATCACGCCAAGCACAGTCTTAATCGTTCAGTCCATTGTAAGATGTCCATTGTTTCCGTCAGTAAACGTCAGTTATATTTGACATGAATTTATGACATGCAAATGCATTTAAATTTGAACGAATCTCTTCGCGGGTGAGATAACATGATGGCCAGCAAGTTCAAGAGATATTGCTCTGTGCCGCAGTGTTAACAGTATAAAGATACAAGAAGTATATACACAGCTTTTCAACCAGATGCAAAATCATACAGAATGTGACAGAACATATAAAAAAATGGGGGGTAGCCCATTCCCGAATGTACGTCTGTCTGTAGTAGATACTTCTAAGAAACAGATTAGGTATAAAGGTAATTTCTTTCAATTTTTCATCTAATCAGTGTTTAATATAATGTTTTCTCCTTCTTTCTTTCAGAGGAAAGCGATTCCAAATGTATATTTTTTGTGGAGCAGATATACAATACCCTCACAGAATTCACCGATTATACATTGCACCAAAATGTAAAACCTGTGATTTATATGAATCTGAATGAAAATAAGTGTGGCATTTTGGTACAGAGCATAAATGTGTCTACAATCATTCTCCAATATATACCAACTATAACTTATAATGAGTAACAGGAATGAATATGATGATGACACAGATGCTGAAAGGATATAGGTAGACCTTCTTTACCAGTTTCCATGAAACTTTCACCACGACTGCTCATTATTGTTGTGAACATGCCAATGCAGTTTCCATATAATAGACAAGCCAGTACGATTTCGAATTTTCATACTTTCTCAGTAATAATAAATAATTCAACTACAACACCTAATTTTGTTTTATTCCAACATAATCTAGAAAATGATTAACAATATGAATAATTTAAAACTCCATTTCATTCATTCTTTATATCATAGATTTTTGCAAATTCTTCATCAAAATCGATGCTGTTGTGGAAAGTAGTCTGTTGGAGAGGAATACAATATACACAATGAATACATATATTATGTACTTTGTTCTTCAGATTCTTGA